ATCTCTCGTCTCATTCGCCCTGTTACAGCAATCACTTAAGGAAAGAAATTTCATATCGAGTCTTTTTAAAGTCTGAGTGAGATTAGGATGCATGTCAATATATCATCAACACTGCGCGTTTGTTAATGATTTGCAAACAACAGTCAACACATGAGGTGCGAACATGAGCAAGATATAATATGCATTACCATATTCTTATATATATATATATGTATATGTGTGTGTGTGTGTGTGTGTATATATATATATATATATATATATATATATGTCAGCATTATTTCTAATAAGAACTTTTTAAAAATAGTTTTAGCTTATAGCCCCGGCCATTGTGTGTGAGCCTATATCTCAATGGCAGGGTCATAAACACAAACTACTTGAAACATTTTTATTAAAAATAATAAAATATTAATATCTTCAAATTACTAACTGGAAATAAATGATCTAAAACAAACAAAAGCTAACAGAAGTCATAAAAGTACTAAAAATAAAAGTAAACGTACTGTACAATGAAAACTGAAAATATATATATAAAAAAAAAGCTAATTCAAAATCTTAGTAAAAAAAACTATAATAGTGTATATAAATAAAATCATACTGATCATTAGTCATTTAGCCATGAGTTCTAAAAAAAATAATTATAAAATAGATGTGCGGTATGAATGCTTTAACCTGTTATTATCATTTCAATAAATAAATGCATATAAACAAACATATTTAAATTAAACATATACAAGCCACATGAAAAAGGCATAAATGAATATGAAAACTCTGTGACAGAGATCAATTCAGTAAAATAAACTGCTGAAATGTGACTCTTAAAAGTTGAAGAGGTGAAATACTACTTTTCTATGAATCATTTATAAACGAGCCTCCTTCTGATCTGTTTAGCAGGTTGTGAAGGTTTGGAAATGAAAGAGGTTTCCGAGTTCTCTGACAGTGAGGAGTCTTAATCCGGTTCCGGGCTGTGCAGCTCCACTGTCTGCTGTGATAAAACACATCGCAAACTTTCTTCAGCACTGCTTCCACACAGAAGAGTTTGACAAATACCATCCACTTTGCGAGCCTGATGTGATTTATCCAGATGTGTTTGATATAGCTGGTCATTTATATAGTTAATTGATGCATTTTAGTAACTTTAAGGTTTTTGTTTTCATTAGTTGATGCATCTGCTCAGACGTTCTGATATACAGGGAGTTTTCAGGCATCAAGTGTATTGTTTCTTCTGATTATGTCAAGAAGATTATGTGTGTTTTTCTTTGAGACAGACGGCTCAGGATCACCGTGATTCATCTGATGTTCTTCAGATTAGCTCGCTGGGAAGAGATGAGATACGAGATGAGACGGAGGACAAAAGGTCAACTCAAATGAGATGAGCAGACAGCACTGAAACAAGCTCATACAAGTATATATAGTTAGTCTCATATTCTGCCTGGCAAAAAATTAGTTGCTTTCTGGGAGACGAGCCCGATTTAGCAAACTGAATCATTTTAGAAACCCATTTGCGCCAGAAAGAAATTCGATTACTTCAGAATGATTGATGGATTTTTGTTGTATCTTTGCATTTATTTATTGACATTTTTAATTTTGTATTTTTTTTTTTGTATTAATATTATTTTTGAGATGTCTTTTATTCTTTATTTATTTATTATTGCATGCTTTTTTTTATTATTATTTTCATTTGTTATTTTATTTTGATGTATTAAAATATTTGGGATTTGTGGGATACATTTTTTTCTATTTTACTTTATATTTAGATATATTAATATATAAATATTAAAATATCCAATCAGTTATATTCAATTACATTAAACATCCAATCAATTATATAATTGATTGGATGTTTGAAACGGTAATGATCTAAACATAGCATGAAGTATTAAATGTTTCAATATTTATTGTTTTAAATGATTTTTGAGAATAAGTATCCTTAATATAGTATTATAGTTTTAGTTAATATTTTGATTTTATTCTTCTATTTTCACTTGAAAGTTTTAGTAATTTTGTTGTACATTTTTTAAGTAGTTGTAGTTAATTTAATACTGCATATTAAACTAAATAAGAATGAGGAATTGTACCTTTGGCAGCTAGCTCAGATAAACATTGTTTTGTATTTTATTTCAGTTCATGTTTATTTCAATTAATGAAAATGTTGTTTTATGTTTTTATTTTAAGTGTGAATTAACGATAACTCTGTTTTTAAAATTATTAAAATTTACAACGGTCCCCTAGTGCCCTTAATAAAGTTTAAATTAAAAGTTAGTGTACTTTTGTTATGTGTGATGAAAACAAAGAAAAATCAAGCTAAATGTAATTCGTGAACAGAATAATTTTTTTTACTGTGTGTCATTTCCGATAAAGCAACAAATCTGGTAGATTATGAAAACACTTAAAACAGCTATCATCAGGTCATGGTCTCCACCTATCCTTAATGCACAAAATTAGTGTGAAATCCTACTGTTAAACAGAGTACATCATTTGAGATGTGATGCACGTTGACAAATTAAAAAACTAGTGAGAGCATAGAAGTGTGTTTTGAGAGTTTATTTCCTAATGTAATAAGTGGTGTGCCAGTAACACCCAATTTTGTAAATAAAAGTCTGAGCTAATTGATATTCTGATAGTGCAGCTGGTAAATCAGAAAGGTCTTGAATAGTGAGTGTGCATAACAAGACAACAGTCACGTCATGTTTGCTGATCAGGAAAATTTAAATTCTTCTTCATTCTGAATATTGAAGAGTGTTTTAACCTTTACAAGGCTTTATGTCTAATAATCAGAGTGATAACTTATCATATTCCATCTATGTCCTCTTCTGCTTCGCTGTTGTTCATAAACCTTCTGGCTAATGCATTTAATTCAATAGACAGATTTTCCAGAGGGCTTTCTCCCTGCTGTCTGTGGTGTTGTGCGGGTTTGTGTCTTGTGTGGAAAGTGCTTGAATGAATGCATGTGTGTGTGTTTTTTAAAGGAATGCTTAACCAAAAAATGAACATTTGCAAAACATTTACTCATCCTCCGACCATCCAAGATGATTTTGTTTCTTCATGGGAACAGATTTGGAGAAATTTTGCATTACATGATTGCTTGCTCAACAATGGATGCTCTGCAGTGAATGGGTGCCGTCAGAATGAGAGTCCAAACAGCTGATAAAAACATCACAATAATCCACAAGAAATCCACACCACTCCAGTCCGTCAGTTAATGTCTTGAGAAGACAAAAGCTGCATGTTTGTAAGAAAAACATTCATCATTAAGACGTTTCAACTTTAAACCATCACTTCTGTCCAAAATATGACTTCATAATCCATAATAACGCTTCCTCAAGTGAAAAAGTCCATCTCCTGTTGTCCTCTCACATCAAAATCCACCCACATATTTGTTTAGAGCTGTTTTGGACTGTAAACAGTGTTTGATCAGTGCATATTTCTCTACTGATTCATACAAGATGAGTTTATCACTGGAGAAAGAAATATTATGGATAGGGTTATGTCTCCACCTGATCTTCACCTGATGATCAACACAGTCGGCTGATAGTTTGACCTTGAAAAACCATTTTGGGTCATATGTAATAGATTTTCCAATTAATTTACTTCAGAAGGTCACATAATCTACGGAAGAGGTCATGAAAACATTTTCTAAAGTTCTGGAAGAAAGAAAATAATTCAGTGCAAGTAAATTAAAGTCTCTTGCAAATTGCTCTATCACAGCCCGAAGGAAATTAATACAATCATTTGAGAAAAGATAACCTGTAGGCATTAGGAAAAACTTAAAATGTCACTTACGTTAATTACGATATGCACTGATTCTTAAGCCGCAGCATCCAAGGAGATATTGTCTGTATTTAAGGAATCATGTAATGAGAAAACACTTGTCCTTGATCTTTTGAAATGAAAGAATCTGATGCAAACACAACATTCAGAATTGACGGTCTCTCTACAGTCCTCGTGCTTTATCGCTTTGAGGTCCGTTCTCTGTAGATACCGCCTTCTCACACGCCACGATTGGTCGATTGTGTACAATGCCTGCATGCTATTGGTCAACCTACTTGTCAGTCTTTACTTGCAGTATTGTTTCTCCTCTATGCCCCGCCTTTCTGAAACGCGTCGATTTTTACAAAGCTCATCAGTCTGAAAAGCGAGGTGTGCTCTGATTGGCCAGCTATCCAGTGCGTTGTGATTGGCCGAATACCTCAAGCGTTTGACGGAAATGTTACGCCCCTCACCATACTGTGATGATGCCCTGTCAGGCCGGAGCGATGATTCAAAACCAATAAAACCCATTATAAATGAGGCATTCGTTGCATCCAGTGGAGACATAATTATGGATTATAATGACTTATACTGTCTTTTTACGCGTTGCGTTGCATCGCGCCACGTAAACATAAAACCATGTCTGCATTTGTGATCGGAGAAATGACAAACAACAAGCCCTACTCTACACTGCCCAAAAAACTCGCTTTAAATATAAAAAATATAAAATATAAAAACTCTTTAAATATAAAAAACGTAGAACCTTCTTTCTTTGCGTGAACATTTGGGCGGCGTTATGCAAATCTTCCCACATAGTGAGGTAGGTATGTGGGGGCGTGTTAGAACAAGCCGTTTTAGGTAGGCGTGGTTAACTCTTAACTTTTATAAAGAATATCTCTTTGGATTTGAGACTTTAGTCTTTGCAACTTTACAGATCTTCTTTATGCACCAAGAGCTTGTAACACTCCAAAGAGAAAGGAAAAATTGAAATCGCATCATATGACCCCTTTAATATAACTCAGATCGTATTCATCTGAAAGAAGAAAGTCATATACTTTCAGATGGCTTGAGGGTGAGTAAATCAGGGGCTAATTTTCATGTTTGGGTGAACTCCCTTTATCGCGGCAAATTTGCGTTTTTTGAACACAAAGCAAAAACTATGCAAAGAAATCTAACTGCCCTCACGACTGGATTTCACTCGCGAAAATTCGCTGAATAATGGTAAATGTCACCACACCTTTTAATTGTTATAGAGGCGAACATGCAGTTGCGCAGTTGCCCAATCAGAAACAAGTATTTCAAAGAGCCGTGAGAGAAACGCTAATCACTGACAACTGACTGTTTGAACACCTACATATGCGAAAATGTGAGGCTCTTGTTAACTTTGATTTAATTTGTCAGACATTATAACAGAGTCCATACTAGCCTAATAATAAGTATGAAATATTATAATGTGTGCAGCCCTATAATAAGTGTTTAGCTCAGCCTAAAGAAAGTACAGCACACCATGACCTTGACTTTCATTCTATTCCATTCCATCAAACCTTTAATATGAATCTGGCTTTTTAATAACTTAACTCTGATTATGTTCAACAGTAATTGTTCTTGAACTAACAAGCACCAATTATCTCAAAGGAACTTTATTACCTATATATACGTTTAAAATGAATCATCTCAAGTTTCTTTATTTAAATGCTATTAAATGTTGTATATTAAAAATCGTAAGCAAAAATGGGATCTGCATATTACACAATGTTCCAACTTATATTTTCATAACTAAGTTAATTTGCTCTTCTTTATTTGGTTTCTACACACTTTAGCACATTTATACTAATGAAATTTATGAAACTGGCTGCAAAGTCAGGCTGAGCACTTACTTTAGAGGACGCATGAATGTGTAAATAGAAATTTTAAAGATGTTCTGTCCCAAAAAAGTATGAAGGACATGCTGTGTCATAATATTTTGCTTTTGAATGTACCTTCTGATGAAAGTTTTTAAGTTGCAGCCTTTTTGGACAAAATATGTAAAAATTGTTCTTATGAATTTGAAATGTGCACTCATTAGACCCTCTTTTTACTTATTTTATTTTCCTTTCACTGATATGATTAAAATACACCCAAGGTAATGTTTAAATGTTAACAAGAGCTGCTTGGAAAGCATCATTAGGTCAAGTCAGGCTTTAATATATATATATTTTTTAATATATATTTTTCTTATTTCTCTGTATACTATAAATTATTTGTATGTTTTAATATTTAAACAATATTTTTTTTTAATAATTCATTTTAGTTTTACATGGCCACCACTCACATTTTCTTCAGAAAAATATTAAAAAGTATTAGTTTCTTATTAATATTTTAACATTAATTTGAATAATAATTAGAATTTTAAATGGACAAGCACCACCACTCACATTTTCTTCAGAGAAACATTAAGATATATCCATTTTTTATTATTATTTTTTAATACTTAAACAATAATTTGAAATAAATATACATGGACAAGCACCACCACTCATATTTTAGATAAATATGAAGACTTTTTTAAATTAATTATTAATATTTAAACACTACTTTTAACAATAATTACAATTTTACACATATACACAACATTTACACTCACATATTTTTTCAGAAAGATAGATTAATTTTTACTAATAATGTTTAATATATAAACATTGATGTAAAAATATATATATTTTAAATTTTTTCTTCAGAAAAATAACTTTTCGGAGAATAAACAAAAAATGAAAATGTAAGAAAAGCCTTTTAATGGAGGGTCAAAGTAGATTTCAGACAGATCACAGAAACAAAAATGATAACAGGAGTATAAAAACAAAACATTTCTACTCCAGAATCAGTTCATCATATCGCTCATATTTCATTATTTTGAATAGCTCTATTAGACATATCGTGTAGTATGTCATTAAGTATAAGCATCATGTGTTTTTTATGGTTTATTAATAAAAGTGGTCTTTTATTAGTTGAATTCTCAGTGCTTCTCTTTACAAACATGGAAGGAGAACAAATCTAACGCAACCAAGTTGAGGGAAGAGGATGAGAGCATATAAGATTGTTTAAAGTGGGTTGCGCTGGTGTAATCTCACACTTCATACTTTGAATAGGCCTAAATTAGCATGTGTTTCTTCAAAGTGATCTGTTTCTGAGGTCTGAGTGTCTACAGTTTTCAGAGCTGAAGAAGTTTCAAAGGACTAAAGCTCCTCTTTCCTCTTAATGATCAGCTTCCGAACCATATCCGCTATCCGTGGGCGGATTTCTTTGACGGAGACTTCAGGACCCCACGCGTCAACAACTTTGCCATCAGTGTCGATGAGGTACTTCCAGAAATTCCAGGTCGGCTCTTTCCTAGACGCCTCTGAAATTAGAAGAGAGATTTACCGGCATTTAGATGAGAGCACAGCATGTCAAATTATTAAGCCATTAGACTGTGATCTTGTGTGAAAATTAAATGCTGCCTCAAGCACTTTGTTTGTTACATCTTTGCGCATGAACCGTTCGTGCACTTGAGTGGAAACACTTGATTTAATATTTTTGTATCTAATCCAAGATGTAGGTAACTTTGTTTCTTCAGTAGAACACAAACTATTTTTTTTTAACTCAAACCGTTTCAGTCTGTCAGTCATATAATGCAAGTGGATGGGAATCACGGCTTTGAGAGTAAAAAAAAACATACACAAACAAAACCAAATTAAACCCTGCGGCTCGTGACGATACATTGATGTGTAAAGACATGAAACAACCGGTCTGTGCAAGAAACTGAACAGTATTTATATTGTTTTTTTACCTCTGATGCACTGCAATGTCTGAACTGTCCTGAACGCGTCCTACCATTGGACCATTGACACTCTATCTACAATCTCAATTAGGAGTGTCAATGGTCCATTTGAGAGATAGGTGGCGGTAATGCACTTATAAGTTTGCGATCCGCCGTAAAGCAAGAAGAAGAAGATGAATCATCACGCGCCGGCTGTCGAGGATGCACTCAGGACAGTTCAGACGTTGCAGTGCATCAGAGGTAAAAAACTATATAAATACTGTTCAGCACAGACTGATCATTTCGTGTCTTTACACATCAATGTATCGTCACGAGTCGCAGGGTTTAATTTGGTTTTGTTTGTGTATGTTTTTTTACTCTCAAAGCCGTGATTCCCATCCACTGACATTATATGACTGACAGACTGCAACGGTTTGAGTTAAAAATATTCGTTTGTGTTTTACTGAAGAAACAAAGTCACCTACATCTTGGATGCACTGTGGGTAAGCAGATAAACATCCAATTTTTGGGTGAACTATCCCTTTAAGTGTTTAAATACTTTTTGATACCACTGTAACCCCAGCTAACAGGGAACGTTCTGGCAAATTTATGAACAAACGTTCTTCCGGTATTGTTAATAGGATGTTCGCTTAAGGTTATCTGGTGTTTCATAATATTCTCAAAACATTATTTAAACATCATTCAGAAAATATTCAAAAGTAACGTTCCCATGCAAAAATTATAAAATGGAATGTGTGTTCTCTCTAAAGTTTGCATAAGAAAAAAAAAACGTTTTTAAAACATTAAAAAACGAAATGTTCAGAGAACATTATCAGAGCATATTTTTGTTAGCCGGGACCTCACGATCATCAAACCTGTTGCACTCACCCTCAAGATATTTGTAAGCATTATTGGCCCCTATTCCAACCACAGCGATCTTGCTGAAGATGGGAAAAGAAACCCCGTAGACTCGCCACACAAAGCTGTCGATCTCTTTATCGCTGCCGGGCTCTTGCTGGCCGAACTGGTTGCAGGGGAAGGCCAGAACGTTGAAATGAAACGGACCGAAGTCTTTTTGCAGCTGCTGGAGGTCTTTGTAGTGCTCCTCAGTGTAACCGCACTCGCTGGCCACATTCACTACCAGTGACGCCTACAAATACAGTACAGAAAAATCAAGAACATCATACGCCGTATATGACTACTGTGATCAGAGATAGATAGATAGATAGATAGATAGATAGATAGATATACACTGTTGTTCAGCAGTTCTCCAACGTACTTTCTGTTTCCTTTTGTTTTAGTTGTTCTTGAATCAAATTTAAGGTTTATGATCATAATCACACAGGGTCTCTGTTTGTTAAACTGTATGACGCTTTTGAATCCATCAAACACCAATTATGGTCTAAAAGCCAAATGAAGCCATTACAGCAGCTCTGAGTCACTGGATGAGTGAAGAGCCACTGTGACGTCATTAATGGGACTCTCTCTCTGCCCTCGAGTCTTTATTTGACCGCTCTACTTCCTTTAAGTCTTCTTAATGATAATTAAATGTACACGTGTCCTTGTGTAAATTTGATGTTTCCATAAATGTAAACTACACACGATTCCTGTGCCGATCAGCCCTTGAACTAGAACATCAGCTCTTCTGATACAGATTGAAAAACACCTCATCTCTATTAAGCCTGCTGTGTTAATACAAGCACTTAATGATTGTATTCATCGTTTAGCGTAAAAATTTACATTTTATTTTGGTGGCTTTACTACTACTACTACTACTACACTTAAAAGGATGACAGATTGCATGTAATGAGCTACTAAAGACAAATGTACTGTAATTAATTTATTTTATCACAGTAGTTGTAGGTTGTAGGAGGAGTGGTGCAGTTGTGGTCGTAAAGGTAGTGATAGTTATTAGGAGTACAATATAAAAAAAAAAAAGTTTTGTCCAGTAAAAAGTGTGCTCAATTCACAAGTATCTAAATCAGTCAGATTTGGAGAAATGTAGCATTGCATCACTTACCCACCAGTGGATGCTCTGCAGTGAATGGGTGCCGTCAGAATGAGAGTCCAAACATCTGATAAAAACATCACAATAATCCACAAGTAATCCACACCACTCCAGTCCATCAGTTAATGTCTTGTGAAGCAAAAAGCTGTGTGTTTTTTTAGAAAGAAATCCATCATTAAGGTGTTTTAACTTCAAACTGTTGCATCCGGCTAAAATATGAGTCCATAATCCACAGTGAATAAGTCATCCTGTCTCAATCAGGAGAGAAATCTGCACAAATCAAGCACCGTTTACAAGCAAAACAGTTCTAAACAAACATGTGGGTGGATTTTGATGAGAGAAGAACCGCAGGTGATGGACTTTTCACTGGAGGAATCATTATTATGGACTCATATTTTAGACAGAAGCGATGGTTTAAAATGCCTTAATGATGGGTTTGTTTCTTACAAACATGCAGCTTTTGGCTGTACAAGACATTAACTGATGGACTGGAGTGGTGTGGATTACTGTGATGTTTTTATCAGCTGTT